TCTTTTTTCTTTGTATTTTTATATTTTTGGAAACTTTAATAAATATGATTTAAAAAAATAAAAATAAAAGTTTGTGCATTCACCTCTGACAGCCTCTGACAGTAATTTAGTATTTCCCCAAATTTGAGAAGCTGCCTTAATCGCATTTGAGTGCATATATCTCACCTTCTTCATTAAAAAGACTTGATAAGCTTCTCAGCTTGCTTTAGCATCTCAAAGTGTCCCTGGCAAAAACAAAACAAAAACCCTGCAATGTGGAAAATCTTCCTCCTCCTTCTATGCGTTCTGCATTGTATAATGATGCCTTTTTCCTCCTGCCGCCAGCTGCCTGCAGTCTGGCTGGTGACAAGAGGGATCTGGGGAGGATGGGAGCAGATCCTCCTTCCAAGGTTAACCGGGAGAGAGGATAAAAGCAGAGGATGAAAGAGGGAGAAAACGCTGGGTTTTCAGTGCAAATGTTCTCAGTGCAGCAGTGCTGCCCAGAGCTTCCCTTCCCTCCAGGAGAGAGCGGAGGCCCAGAGAGACGAACCAAGGACAGGCTAAGAATGCAAAGCCAGCCAGCTTCCTCAAACTGCATTTTCTCTTCACCTCTCGACTCGCCCCCAATGCTGCAGACCTGTCTTCCTTGCCTAAACAGACTTCTTGGTGGGATGTGCTGCAGACTGACCAGGTCGTAAGGCAAAGGGCCTTAGGTGGGTGAGGAATTTTGTGGAGCAGCTCAGGGGCAGGTGGACACCTCGAGTTGGAGGACCTTAACCCTGCCGAGAAAAGACAGCCCTATAACCTGGCAATCCTCCACTGCATGCTACTACAGTGGTACCTCGGGTTACATATGCTTCAGGTTACAGACTCCACTAACCCAGAAATAGTGCTTCAGGTTAAGAACTTTGCTTCAGGATGAGAACAGAAATCGTGCTCCGGTGGCACGGCAGCAGCAGGAGACCCCGTTAGCTAAAGTGGTGCTTCAGGTTAAGAACAGTTTCAGGTTAGGTACGGACCTCCGGAACAAATTAAGTTCTTAACCCGAGGTACCACTGTACTGATCCAGGGTTATCTCTGCCCATCCCCACACCTTCTACATTTCCCTACATACATACATATATACCGTATTTTTCGCCCTATAGAACGCATTTTTTCCCCTCCAAAAATGAAGGGGAAATGTGTGTGCGTCCTATGGGGCGAATGCAGGCTATGGGGCGAATGCGCACCGACCCCTCTCGCTCTCCAGGCTTCAGGAAGCTATCCGCAAGCCGTGGGAGAGCTGCGTGAAGTCGCTGAGCTCAGCGCCCCCCAGGCTTCGGGCTTCATGCAGCTCTCCCACCGCTTGTGGAGAGCTGCCTGTTCTGGGGGCTGGGGTCGGGGGAAGCTCGGGCTTCCCCCGCCCCAGCCCCGCACCTGGGGGGGAAATAATTTCCCCCCCTTATTTCCCCCCCAAAAACTAGGTGCCTCCTATGGGCCGGTGCACCCTATGGGACGAAAAATGCGGTATATCATTTTATTTGTAGGCCACCTTTACATAGTTAACAAAACACTCCAGGCGGCTTACAACATGAAAAAAAACATAATTACAAATATAACAAAAGTAGTCACAAACAATAGATGAAACGCATCAAAAAGTACACAGCCAAATGGAATAATTGCCACATAAATCACAATAGGATCTAAAAATAAAGATACAAAAAAATTTAATATAAATAACAGCAATAAAATGCCCCTAAACAGTAACCCAATGGAAGAATCTGTTGGAGGGTATGTAAAGTCAGTGACAAGAGTATCTGGAGAAGCTGAAATCTCCCAATGGATTTTTGAAATTCCCATTTCAGATGCCAGATTTGTGTCCATTTAATCCGCCTCTGTGTGTGTGTTTGTGCATGTAGAGAGAGACAACCTGTCTGTCCTATGTAGAATACAGAAGGGTGGTGTCAAGGAACAAGGGTGGGAGAGGAGACCTAGAGGCAGCTGTAGAGGCACCACTGGGGGCCAGATGTGAAAAGATATGGCAGATCCAGCCTCCAAGGAGTGGACCATAACTGTTGCTGCTACTGTGGCAGTGGTGGCGGCAGCAGGTGATGCATTCGTTGGTGGCCAGATCTGCTGCCCCTACTAAAAATTTTAGAGAGCTTAAACAAATATCTTTGGCCCCATCCACCATTGGTGCACATCCCCCAGAAAGTTGCCCCTGAGGGAATGCATTCCTCAGGATGAGAAACGCTCCCCATCCCTGCTCTGCCTAATTGTAGGGCAGGCCTCACATTAGGGCTATGTAAACGCTATACCTTTAAAGCACATTCCCCACCTCAAAGAATTCTGGGCCATGTAGTTTCCTCAAGCTTGCTGGGGATTTTAGCTCTGTGAGGGGTAAACTACAGTGCCCAGAATTCCCCAAAGGAGAGTATGTGCTTCGAATGTGCATTAAAGGTGTATGCAGCGCAGATTCCAAAGCTGAGCGGTACCTCCAAATGACAACAAATAATAAATAATAATAACAAAATAAGCAAGTCACCCACCTCCTTCCTCTGTTTTTGTGGTTAAACTTAGGAAGAGTAATGGGGAAAGTGAAAAAAAAAGCTTACATTTGAACTACTGTACTTTGTTTTCACGCAAGAAGCAATATTAATTACCCACTGGATTCTCCCCTGTGAATAAACCACCAGGGAGAAAGCTGGCAATAAGCAAACTCCCCAGGGCTTTTCTCTCCCTCTCTCTCTCTCTCTCTCTCTCTCTCTCTCTCTCTCTCTCTCTCTCTGTCTCCCTCTTGGACATTCAATGCTTACTCCAGCAGCAGCTTGGCTCCCGAAGGGGGAGTTTTCATGAAGATTCCTGGGAGGATTTTGTGCTGGCTTTTGAACAGGAAGAGGAAACAGTGTTCCTGCCTTTAGTGGGGGGATATAACCAAAAGGAACAGAGTGGAGGGAAGCAAAGAAGATATGAAGGGGGGGAGGGGAATGAAACGATGCTTGTATGCTGCCGCTGCAAAGCGTATCTAATGCTATGGTGCCATGGGGGAGGGGTCACCTTTTCAAAGACCCCAGAAGGAACTTGTCCACAACCTGCCCCAGTTTGTACAGTTGCTGCATGTTAAAGACATACTGTACTGAATTGCATCCGAAACAGTGCTGGCCAGAAAGATGGCATGGGGAGCCCAATGCCAACAGGGTTAGATTTGTAAAAATGCATCTAAGGGCTCCTGCAGGTGACCTATTTCTGGAACGTGAATCCTGATTTGTTTGCAGGTGCACCTTAAAGGTAAAGGTAAAGGGACCCCTGACCATTAGGTCCAGTCGTGACCGACTCTGGGGTTGTGGCACTCATCTTGCTTTACTGGCTGAGGGAGCCAGCGTACAGCTTCCGGGTCATGTGGCCAGCAGGACTAAGCCGCTTCTGGCGAACCAGAGCAACACACGGAAACACCGTTTACCTTCCCGCCGGAGCGGTACCTATTGATCTACTTGCACTTTGACGTGCTTTCGAACTGCTAGGTTGGCAGGAGCAGGGACCGAACAACGGGAGCTCACCCCATCGCGGGGATTCGAACCGCCAACCTTCTGATCAGCAAGTCCTAGGCTCTGTGGTTTAACCCACAGCGCCACCCACGTCCCACCAGGTGCACCTTAGGTGGAGGTTAGATGATGCCCAGTCGTTATCGCGCATTCAGCCTGTATTCATCCTGATTTGTTTGCAGGAAGGTTCTACATTTTCCGCTAAATAAATGGTTTATCTCACACTTTTCAACTGCAAAAAAGGCTGGTTCCTTTTTTTAAAAAGTGACTTCGTTGCACCGGGGCGACAGAGTGCTTTCAATCTGTTTGTACTGCAGAAACCTCACGGTTCTGTTATGTGACTGAATTTCCCCTGCAAAATACAGGCAGTCTGGAGACAGCCGCAGTGAGTTCCAGATTGCCAGTACCTGTAGCTTGTTAAATCTCTGCTCTTGCCACAAGAGGGCGCATTCAAGCTAGGATGAAAATTGCCTTGTGGCAGTGAACGGGGCCAAGGGCGTTTCGAAAATGGGCAAGTTTTCTAGATTCAGAGTGTTGGTGCTGACCTTTAAAGCCCTAAACGGCCTCGGTCCAGTATATCGGAAGGAGCGTCTCCACCCCCATTGTTCTACCCGGACACTGAGGTCCAGTGCTGAGGGCCTTCTGGCGGTTCCCTCACTGCCAGAAGCCAAGTTACAGGGAACCAGACAGAGGGCCTTCTTGGTAGTGGCACCCGCCCTGTGGAACACCCTCCCACCAGATGTCAAAGAGAACAACAACTTCCAGACTTTTAGAAGACATCTAAAGGCAGCCCTGATTAGGGAAGCTTCTAATGTTTGATGCATTACTGTATTTTAATATTTTGTTGGAAGCCGCCCAGAGTGGCTGGGGAAGCCCAGCCAGATGGGTGGGGTATAAATAATACATTATTATTATTATTATTATTATTATTATGTCCCTCGTCAAGCACCATTCTAGGGCTGGCTTTCCCTTCCCTGCTGCTCTGAATGCCTGCTTCACAGGCAGGAGGTTGCAATCCCTGGCATTTCCCGCCAAAACAGTGGCAATAGGAAATCTATAGCCCTCCAGATATTGTTGGACTACGACTCCCATCAGTCCTGATTGCTGGCTTTGGCTGTTCTGAGCAACATCTCATATCTGGAGGGTCAAAGGTTTCCCACCCGTAAAGTAGAAAAATCAGCCCATAGGGTGTGGCAAAGACCCTTCTCTCTCTGAGGCCAGTGGTGGCTGGTGTTCATTGGGATTATTGGGGTGGAAGGCAGGAAGCTGACAGTAGGTGGAGCCAAAGTTCGGAGGTGGTTTTAAGGTAGCGCAATGGGTGCAATCACATTGGGTGCCGCTCCGCAGAATGCTGTAGAATGGAGTACAAGAGGTGGGGTGGGGAGGGGTGCAAAAACAATTTGAGAGCCCAAAGTCTGCCACTGCAGAGTTAATCACAGACAAGAGACAGCGAATGACAAGCAGAGCCAACTCATCCTAGGCCACATAAAGCACTATGATGGCCGATTAGCTCAGTTGGTTAGAGCATGGTGCTGATAACACAAAAGCCACAGATTTGATCCCCGTATGGGTGCATATTTCTCAGGGACTGGGCAGAGGAGGAATGGTGGAATCTCCTCCCCATCCTGACCCTTCAGGGAGAAGAAAGAGGAAGACAGTACAGATTTACGACAGGGGTTTGAGGGAAGTCACAGCTCAGAGACAAATGAGGGGGAAAGTTGGGAAATCATGGGAGAGCCAGAACAACACCTGGCTGACACATTGTCGTTAGAAAGCATTCCAGACCCTCCATCTCCCAGAACGCGGCGAGCCTTAAAAGTAGGAGAGCAAAGAGCTCAAAGACAGAGGGCACATAGCAGCACCGGAAGAAGTTACAAATGAGGAGGTGAGAGAGACGGGAGGTGGAGATTTACTTGGGACAACACCATTATCCAAGAAACTGGGTTCTATAGCCTCTCTCTGTAAAGATTGAAATAAAAAAGGACTGTAAGAAACTTCCCCTTGTCTTAATACTTTCCAGGACCAACAGCCAGGAGCTGCTGACAGCATCCTGACAATATTCCTGCATTGCAGGGGTTTGAAGAAGAATAGATGATCCACGGGATCCATTCCAACTCTACGATTCTATGCTGCTGCTTTAAATAGTCATGGCTTCCCCAAAGCATTCTGGGAACTGCAGTTCAGGGTGCTGAGAGTTGGTAGGAGGTCCCCTGTTCCCTCACAGAACTAGCATTCCCAGAGTACCCTTTGATTGGTTGTTAAACCGTTCTGAGAATGGTAGCTCTGTGAGAGGAATAGGGGGCCTATTCACAACTCTAAGTGCCCTTAACAAACTACAGCTCCTGGGAATCTTTGGGGGTAGCCATGGCTGGTATCCTGATGCTGATGATGTCAGTCAGGGATGACGTCAGTCAGAGGAGCCAATCCTGAACCTGAGGGACTGGAGGTCTGACTCAGTGTGAGATCTTTGCTTCTCTTTATGTGTTTCCAAGTTTGCTCACCAATCTCTACGCTCACGTCACTCAGTTTCCTCCCAACCTCCCCCCGCCTGTTTTGTTGTTTTTTTTCATGGCACAGGGAAAGATTGGCAGCAGATGGTGATAAATTAATGCCACTCATTTTTCCATATGCCTTTTGTCTTCCAGGCAAGGTGGTGATGTTGGGTGAAGCAGATGACTCACAAGGGGATGGCAGCGTTCCGCCAATGGAGGAAAACCAGACCTCAGATTCTCCTCCTCAAGTAATGCCCTTAACATATACAGTTAGACCACATTTGCACCATACATACTGCTTTAAACAATCATAGCTTTCCCCTAAGACTCTTGGGACTTGTAGTTTGTTAAGGGTGCAGAGAGTTGTGAGAAGGCCCTTATACCTCTCACAGAGCTACGGTTCCCAGAGTTCCCTGGAAAGAGGGATCTGTTGTTAAACCGCTCTGAGAATTGTAGCTCATGGGGTGCACAGGAGAAATCCCCCGCTATAAATAAGTCAGAAATTAAATCGTTAAAACGAAAGGAAAAAAGCGCTAAGGGAAATCACAAAGAAATTTTCTTTGCTCTCCAGCGCCATCTGGTGTTGCACATTTAGAATACATTCAGAGTGCTGGTTTTTTTTACTAACGTAGCTGAGTCCCGTGAGAGCTGCTTTTGGGGAAGGAGTTCCAGACCAGGGACAGGCGCAGAAAATGGAGAATCCCTTCAGTGTTAAAAAGAAGAAGGCATAAAAGCAAAATAAAACGAAGGTGTTGATTAGAAAGACTGAAGTGGCAAGTCATTTTTTTTTTATCTGCTCTAAAATTATATTTGCTTCCTTAGGTAAGTCATAGACTGTTCCATATTCCAAAGAAAACCTCTAAGAGGTTCACAGCATCTTAAAAATACCACAAATAAATGCCAAATACAAAGAATGTGGGGGGAGGGGAATCCACATTTTAGTGCAGTGCAGATAACACTTAGATAAGATTTCCTCCTAAACATAAATAGAAGCTGGAACAACTAACATATGGGGACCCATAATAACTACTAGCAGATCCAAAATACAGCAATGCAACAGAAACAATTAGCTTCACCCAGAAAATAGACACGCATGTGGAACTCTCACTTCTGCTTCCGTCTCCCCATTTTAAGCTTACAACAAAAGATGGAACAAAATGACACACTCCCCACAGCTCAGTTGGTTAGAGCGTGGTGCTGATGACACCAAGGTTGCAGGTTCGAGCCCCGTATGGCACAGGTGCACATTCCTGCCTTGCATTGCAGGGGCTTGGACTAGATGATCCTCAGGGTCCCTTCCAACTCTACAATTCCATGATTCCTGGAGCTCCCTCTGCTATCATCAGGGAGCACTAATAATAATAATAATAATAATAATAATTTATTTATATCCCACCCTCCCCAGCCGAAGCCGGGCTCAGAGTGGCTAACAACAGTAAAAGTAACACAGCATTCTAAAATCAATTCATTCTAAAATCAATGCAGAATCAAATTAATGGCAACCATTGGGCTACTCACAGAAATAACAAAATACAACAATAGCAGGAGGCACCTTCAACATGACCCAAAGGGGATTCTCTCCCCCTGCCTCCCGCCGCTGCCCTTTGATGTCACCCCTTCAGGGATGCCCTGTTAAAGACTATTGCAAAAGTATCACACGAGAAAGTGAAAATTAAAAGAAGAGCAAACATGCAGTGGAAATGGCTGTGACCAGCATGGTAATATAGTCCTGAAGGTGTTGTGGTGGATTAACATTCATAATATGTCACTGCATACATTCAAAGCCATCCCTCTTCAGAAAGGTGGGAAAGTTGCACTAAGGCAAACTTCACCTGCACAGGTAGCACTCCTGATTCTCCCCAAAGTCATATCGTCTGCAGCCTGAGAAAACAGGAGGACAACAATTTGATGATGATGTCATGCAGATGTTCTGTAAAACGGGAGTAAGGGAAACATGACTATTTGGGAATAAACACTAAGGTTGCTTTCAAGCGACCTGTTTGTTGAGCAAGTCTGCAAAGGGGTTTAGGCGACCGCCAGCTAATTATTGAGCATTCATCCTGATTTCAGAGGTGGATTTAGGGGGCGCGGAGCAGTGGTGCCGCAGGAGGACATCTCAGCTGTGATGTAGACTGGAAGGCGAGGGGCAGGGGGATGGTGAACTTTGGTGTCACACAGGGCCCCGCCAAAATCTGAGGCCCCAAAGTCCACCACCACTGATTTATTTTTGAGAAAGTTAGATGATGTTGCATCAAGTACAGTGGTACCTCAGGTTACATACGCTTCAGGTTACATACGCTTCAAGTTACAGACTCCGCTAACCCAGAAATAGTACCTCGGGTTAAGAACTTTGCTTCAGGATGAGAACAAAAATTGTGCTCTGGCAGCGCAGTGGCAGCAGGAGGCCCCATTAGCTAAAGTGGTGCTTCAGGTTAAGAACAGTTTCAGGTTAAATACGGACCTCCGGAACGAATTAAGTACTTAACCTGAGATACCACTGTAACTGTATCCCATGTTTCCCAGGGCATTTTCCTGTCATCTTCCTTCTTGCAAAAAGTCCAATTTGGGGTGCGAGGTGAGAGTGGATTTGTTAAGCAAGGACGCCAAACCAGCTTTAACTGTGCGACTTAAATTTGCCACCCCATTAAAAATAAAACTTACGGGGGAAATTGTAAGAACTAGATATTCTGCATAGCACAGTGACAGTTAGACCTCCGAAACACATTGTCTTAATTTGCGCAGTTACTATGTAAATTAGCAAGTGGAAATGTGATGCAAATTTGTGCATTGGGTCTTTTATGTTCCTAGCATAATGGCCCTGTGTGGAAACACTCCATTAAGATGAGAAACTCATAGAGCTGCAGGTGGAGTCAGGAAATGACAGGTGGCCAGCCACCTGCCCATAGGAACAAACTTAAGGGAAGGGCCATAGGTCAGTGGGGGAGCATCTGCGTTGCATGCAGAAGGCCGCAGGTTCAACTCTTGGCATCGCATGAAACCCTGGAGAGATGCTGTCAGTCCCATGAGAAGCGTGTGTTTGAGAGAAGTCGCAACTGTTCACTTGAAGCTAAAAAAAAATGTGAAGTGACACCTCAGTTTAAGGCTGGTTTAGGAAGACTTGCAGGATGCGGGTGGTGCTGTGGGTTAAACCACAGAGCCTAGGACTTGCTGATCAGAAAGTTGGCGGTTCGATTCCCCACGACGGGGTGAGCTCCCGTTGCTCGGTCCCTGCTCCTGCCAACCTAGCAGTTCAAAAGCACATCAAAAGTGCAAGTAGGTACCGCTCTGGCGGGAAGGTAAACGGCGTTTCTGTGCACTGCTCTGGTTCGCCAGAAGCGGCTTAGTCATGCTGGCCACATGACCCGGAAGCTGTACATCGGCTCCTTCGGCCAATAAAGCGAGATGAGCGCCGCAACCCCAGAGTTGGCCATGACTGAACCTAATGGTCAGGGGTCCTTTTACCTTTACCTTAGAAAGCCTTGGTTTGAAGAAGGGGGAAGTCCTGATGACGTGTTAGCAAGGGCCTCTTTCCCCACCCACCACCCACCCCTAGGAAGAGGCAGAAATCCAGTGGAGACTTTTCTCCCATCCTTATGACGGAAGTGCATTAATGATCAAGTCTGCAGACTAGTAGAAGGAAATGGCCACTCTTATATGAATGCTCAGAAGCCCCTTTTAATTCAAAATGTGTGGTTGCTTGGCAAACTCTGTGCATGCTCTGATGCACTTCCTCCTGTTTCAGTGGTTTTGTGGTGTCCCCTAAGGTTCAGGTACAGGAGACCTGTGAGCCCTCCAGATGTTGGCGTCCTGTTCTCATCATGTCTAAGCACAGGCCATGCTGACTGCAAAGGCTGATGGGAACTGTAGTCCAGCAACATCTGGAGGGTTCCTTATTCCTGCCTTATTGGATCTGACTGAAGGCCCATATGGTCCAGTCTTCCTCCAGAACAGTGGTGTCCAAACTTTTTTCAAAGAGGGCCAGATTTGATGAAGTGAACATGTGTGAGGGCCGGCAAAGCTTTTTTTAGGATTGAAGTTGTTGAGCCTTTTTAAGGATTTTGCCCCAAAGCTGTTGAGCTTTTG